AGTTGTAGCCCCCTCTTCCACGGCGCCCCGCCTCTGCCCTTCTGCCTCCCTGACTCCAGTCACCAGCACCTCCGTCCAGTGATCGAGGGTTTTGCTGCTGCAGACGCTCCCCTTCACCCTCGGGGCGCACATGCACGTGGACCATACTGGACCGCAACAGATCCAGCTGTTTTTTGATGCCCTCCTTCAGCTGCATCACCAGTGCCTGCACGTCTGGTGATGGCGGCCTGCCCCAGCCAGCAACATTGATCCCCTGGAGCTTCTCCATTTATTCTCAAGCTCCTTCACTACGGGGATCACCGGGATAAGGAGGGCATCGCCAGCGCTGAGAATCTTGGCAGCCTCGAGGAATGGCTTGAGGACCACCAAGATCTGGGAGAGGGTATCCCACTCTGATTTGTTAAGGGGGCTGCTGATCCCAGTCTCCCTGACCAAGGTCATCTGATGGATGGTCTTGTGTAGCTCAACCATCCTTTTGAGCATCAGGTATGTGGATTTCCACCAAGTCTCCATATGCTTTTGTGCTGCGGGATGTTCATCTCTGCCTGTTTGTCCCACAGCATCTTGCCCGCCTTGATGCTCCGGTGGAAGTAGGTCACCACCATCTTGCATTTCGAAATAAGCTGGCTGGTGGTGACAGCACTATCACCAGGGACCCTGTCCCCCTCCACGGCATCCCTGACTTTAAGGTGGAAATTGTGTTTCACACAGCGGATGCCAACAAAGTTGGCATCGTGCACCCCCTTGACCATATTGGCTCCGTTGTCGGTGACCATGATCTCCCTTGCCATGTGGGACCCATCATCTTGCATTTCGAAATAAGCTGGCTGGTGGTGACAGCACTATCACCAGGGACCCTGTCCCCCTCCACGGCATCCCTGACTTTAAGGTGGAAATTGTGTTTCACACAGCGGATGCCAACAAAGTTGGCATCGTGCACCCCCTTGACCATATTGGCTCCGTTGTCGGTGACCATGATCTCCCTTGCCATGTGGGACCCATCCATCATCTCGGCTTGAAGGAGAGTCCACCTACGGCCTGACTGATCCAGAACTGGACGCAGTACTCCAGCTGCGGCCTGACCCGTGTTGCATAGAGGGGGAGGATCACCTCCTTGG